TCTCTATGACCAGCCATATCACCCTGCAGCCCAAGACCGGTTGCTCACTGAAGCTAAGCCGGGCTGAGCCTGGTTAGCACCTGGATGGAAGACCACATGGGAAAACTAGGTTGCTGTTGTAAGTGGTGTTAGAGAGACCAGCAGAGGGCGCTCAACCTGTGGTCTGTGTGAGTCCTTATGACTAGGGCCAGACGGAATCTGCTGACGTTTTTTGCTATTTCTGCGGAGAATTTTGGTAAAAATCTGCGCATTTCTGCTGAATTATTTTGGGAGTATCATAGCCAAAACCTTAATATATTAAATAAAAAGAAATAAATTACTGAATCAAAAATGAATAAATTCAGATTTACACATTTACTCAAGTAAATAAACAGAATTAATCATGGGCTAGAAATCTGCAGAAATCTGTGGAATTCTTCGGCAGGTTTGTGGAAAATCTGCGGAATTCTGCGCGCGCAGATTCCGTGTGGGCCTACTTATGACCCAGTAAAAGTGAAGGGGACGCTATACTCTCAGTGGGCGCTGTCTTTCAGATGAGACATTAAACCGAGGTCCTGACTCTCAGTGGTCGTAAAGAGCAGGAGTGTAACCCTGGTCCTGGCCAAAGTGCCTCAATTGACCCCATACGATCATTGCCTCCCAATCATCCCCATCCATCAAATTGGCTCTATCACTGTCTCTTCACTCCACCAATATCTGGGGAGTGGTGAGTGCACTTGCGCTGTTCTCTTGTAGCTGATGTCGCGTCATCCAAGTGGATACCCCACCCCCCACCTTTTACAAGTTGCTATGTTAGTAAATGGCATCATTATTCATCCATATATTTCGAAAAACAGAAAAACTTGATACATTTTGTCACTAAAAACCATGTCCTCTGGTGTGACACTATATGCAATTTTTTTTAAACCAGGTAATCCTACATAAAACATTATTAGTTGAATGTGAAGCCCATGACATTTCGTGTAGGAATATTTTACATATTGTATTTTCTGGAACCACGATAAAGGTAAGTTTTGGTGTTCTTTGGTGTGACTACCTCTTTATTAAAAATGTCCAAAAATTATGACAAGTCATAGAGGAAAAGTATTGCACAATTTCATTTAAAACAAATAGCATGATAAGATGTCTCCAGAAAAGAAGATAAATCACTCTTAATCTATTTGTATTTTATTAAGAGTAGTTTTTCTTCATTTGTGTTGTCACACCATAGGACATTTTAGGGTAAAATCAAGTAAGAATAAATGAAAAAACAGTAGCGACCCCATATGTTTTCTCAAACATCAGACTTTAAACTACATACAAATGAAAAAAATATTTATTCAAATATTGCTTTATACTTTTACTGCATATTTGTCAGCTACTCAGTACTTTCATATTCACTTCTATTTTTTCAGTGACAGTTTACTTAATAATCTGTGTGAGAAAACACATGTGAATCCTTACACTGAGCCTTCTATATCCCAGGATCACTCACTGGAAACAGACTCTGTTCATGTTGGATGCACCAGTGTCAGTTGAGGAAGGCGACATTATAGCAGGATCTATACGTCTGCAGAGAAATCCTATCTGGAGGCGGCACCTGTCAATCACTTTTTTATGGAATATAAACAGCACAGAAGTTTCTACGGTAAGTTTCTGTGAAATCAGCTACTTTTTTTGCAATTTTTTTGCACTTGCTTTGTTTTATTCAACATCTTAGCAGGAAATTCATATTATTTATTGATGTTTAGCAATTTTAGATCATGCAAAGATTAGGCCTTCGTTTACATTTAAAATTTTTTTTTTTTTTTTTGCAGGTCAAGACTAAATGTTTTCCAATGTGGAGGTGATGCTAAAAGTCAATCCATGAACTTTTTTAGTAAACAGCATCTTGTATTTTGCTATAATAGACATAATGGGACACTACATGTATTGATAGATGTACAAAATATATTGATGAAAATGATTTTTTAGGTTAAATTTAGCTAGATAAAACTGACAAGACTCAAGTGCAATTCACAATTTTTTTTTTACAGATCTCAGTAATTAAATGTGTAAACTTTTATATGTATAAGTCTGAATCAGTGATGTGTCTGTATGCTAAGAAAACACTGTGTACCCTGAGTTCACCAGCATTTGAATAAAATAGTTCTAACATCATTTCTAAAGTATGTTTGGCAGTAATAATATTGTTTGTAAAACTTGTGTCTTGTTAATATTTAAACTAGAATTCTGTTATTTAATTAGATACCACTTTTAGATACACAGGATGCTTATTATAGTAGCAAGTCATCTGGGTGGTTCTTGCCTCCTGTTTTTGATTGCTTGTGTTCGGACATACAAATCTGTTCATGTACTGTTTTTGATGTCATTTAGGATGCAGCCATTTTCTCTTTAATACTGCAGTTGTAGCCCTGTTGAAAAGGAAAGGGGAAAAAACTATTGCAATGACACTTAAACATCAAATTGGAGAAACAGCATACTTTTGCGGTCTGAGAAGTGTAGTTCAATTCCAGCTGAGAATATTTATTTTAGTTCTTTTTTATTATTCTTTTTATTTGTTCATACTCAGACTGGTATTATGAATCTTCGCACAGCTCATAAACACTGTCCTTCTTTGTGTTCAGTCCCTGTGCCAGTTGAATCGCATGGATGGACTGAAATTTGGTGACCCCTCAAAGGTCAAATTTATCATCTGTATACGGAGCACTGTCTTACCGTTTGATTATTACTGTATTATTAATAGTATGTACTCCTTTCTTAGACCAGGCTACATTGAGAATAAGTATATTTCAGGACAAAAACCTTGGTAGTCATTAAAAGAATTGCACAGATCTTTTTAACTAATGGTTGACTTTCAACTGTGTTGCTTTATCACGAGATGGGTGTTTTGTGATGCATGTTGGGAAGATCAAGTATAGTGCAGATAGCAATAACCACATATGTATCTTATTAAACAATATTTAAAAAGAATTTGCCCATTGTTTTACTCTTCATAAAGGTGATTTAACATTTGTAGAATACAAAATGGCTACATTCAGAATTTATAGTTTACATAGTATTTTACAAAGGAAAAAAAGATGATCAGATCTGTGAAACTATACTAAACAATAAAAAAGGACACAAATGAGCTAAAAATATTATGCTTTCACTAAATTTTAGTGTGTATCTGTCAATCTCAAAATTTATATGGCTTGATGCACCAATTCATTTTTTTTTCTACCAGAAAGGATAGTCTTCACCCAAAAGATAATTAGATGTACAAAATGCATAATTGTTTTTGGGAGGAAAATTTCTTAGCTTGTATTTACATTTGAACAAAAATTTTGTCAGAATTTGCCATGGGTATGACTAATTCCGGGCTTTACATGTAAATATATGCAGCAGGTATTGAAAGAAGTAAATATTATATGCAGCAGGTATTGAAAGAAGTATTGAACATGATTGAATACAGAAAACCTTTATTTTACAGAAAACAATTTGTTAAAGGTGTTGACAGACATCAGCAACAACTAAAGTAATGCTTACATGCAAAGAAAACGAAGTGAATTCATTTTAAACTAAGTTATGTGTAATAAAATGAAATGGCACAGGGAAAAGTATTGAACAGTTGAAAGAAGGCAGGTGAAAAGGGGCATGAAAAGCCAATACATATATTTGCCTATGTTTAAACTGCCAGCTACATAGTTCTCAACACAGTTCTCACACTCTCAAGCCACAAGTCCATTTTCTCACACAATGAAAGGGGGTTCAGAAACAAATAAGCAGCTTAGGGTAGGAAGCTGTTTAAACCATATGTTGGAGGAAGTTTGGCAGGTACTGCCACTTGTTGTGGCAACAAACAAAAAACCGAAATAGAAAGAAACCGAAATGCTTCCACATATGTATATATGTGTATATATATATATATATATATATATATATATATATATATATATATATATATATATATATATATATATATATATATATTTATATATATGTATATATATATATGTATACTTATTGAATTCTTGGTAGCTATGTATATTAATAATATAAAACATGAAAATAGGTTTGAACTAATGCTAATGTTTACATCCCTCAAAAGGGTCTATACCATGGGTGTCTAAACTCTGTCCTGGAGTCTGATGTCCTCCTGCAGATTTTAGCTCCAACTTCAAAACGCTTGCAGGGATGTTCTAGAAAGCCTTGTAAGAGCTTGATAGCTAGCCCAGGTGTGTCTTATTGGGGTTGGAACTAAACTTTGCATGACACCTGCCCTCCAAGACCGAGTTTGGACACCCCTAGTCTATGGAAAATTCCTCTTATTTTTTAAAATAAAAATCATTTGAAAATGACACTTGAGTTGTGAACAACCAACATCGTGTGATCATCAGAAATGAATCATTAGCAGCTGATGTTAATTAAGCTCACGCAATCAATGCTTACCACATTTGACTCCTTTAATTAGGTTAATTAGCATTCGAAGTGCATAAGTATTTCCTGAAAGAAGATGCGAGTACATCGTCACAATGCAGTCCTTTTTGATACTTGTAGTCTTGCTTTGTCTGGCTTTTTCCATAGTGGCACGAGCAGGTAATTTACACCTTTTATGAGAATGCAGTGTTTATGTTGGACAAATGATTTTAACATTT